AGTATTTTGAATTGCTACACTCGTCTCTGAGATACAAAACTAACTATAACAAAAGGGAAGTAACTCCCACTTCGTTACATTGTGGGAATCTAAAGAGCGACGAGTAAATGGACTAAATTCAAATTATTCTTTGACATTGTTGTATCGTGACGTCATGGATTCCAAACGCGATTATTAATATGTCGCCGTGATACAGCTGGATTACTGCTGCTGACGGGGGCGTTAAACCTTCATTTCACTTCAGAGACGATACTCACTGTCGCTCGTCAGATATCAGAACTATTCACATGTTTCATAACATTGGTATTACACGGGAGTTCGTTTTAGTATTCTATATATCCTGGCACATTAATCATTTCATGGAATAAACATCCACCTGTCCTACATAAATCTAACACAACAGTGGTTAAAGCGTTGGCTCGTCACGCCGAAGACTCAGGTTCGATTCCCAACATGGGTACAATGTGTTAAGCCCATTTCTGGCGTCCCCCGCCGTGATATTCCTGGAATATTGCTAAAAGCGGCGTATAACCATACTCACTCACTCACTCACTCTGACATAAATGTCTATCAGTTTGAAACCTGCGCCACAATGTATGACTGTGTGAAGGGTCAGTAAAATCTTTTCAAGTCATTTATATCTCTTAAATGCAGTTATCATATACCAAACATAATCTGGACATCTGGACAATTCGTATTATTCCGGGACAAGCAGAATCGCTAATTTTTAGCTACTCGTGCCCCTCTCGTGGCCATTTTTGCGACCAGGCTCCGTCTAAGCGCAAACGGGCATAGCGAAAAGAATTGTCTACTCGATGCGTAATGATTCACGTATAGTTCCCCATATATTGTATAATGATGGAATCGGGACATGCCGTATTATGCAGCATGATTTAACACATATAACTGTATCTTGGGTGTATTTTTAGATGCAAGACATATGTAAGATTTAAAATTATTCCCGACTGATTCTTTGACCGAAGTACTTGAAGTCATACGGGTATTTTGATTGGTTTGTCGTATTTTCGCACATAACAGTCATCGATAGGGTACGAGTCTCGTTGCGGGTTACGGAAAGGGGCGAGTGGTGACGAATGTATCAAAATGAGGATGAAACGTTCATATTCTGAGTCTGTGCCATCGTATCGTGGATCATTTCTGTCAACGTACTTCAATAAAGTATAGACACATTGACATAAGTCAATTAAGGACGTGTGTGTGTGTGGTGTTCATATCCATTCATGTCAACACACAGATACTTTTCTACAGATTTGGATTGATTGATACATTTGTGAGCACGTATACGTCGAATTATGTGTATTGTATGTAGCTTTATTTTCAAAAGGGTAGCCAACTGATTCCTGTTTGTCGGTCGTCAAGCCCAAGGTCGGATTTGACTTCCCGCATGAGTACAATGAAGGAGTCCCACAATATTCCTGGAATATTGAAGTGAAAATTAATGTGGCGTAATGCAACACTGACTTCAATAATGTCTAAAAGTGATGGTCAGTGCAGCTGTTCTGCTGTTAATAGCCTAAGAAATAAGAGTAAACTATATTAGCAATGGAGATGTCTGTACTTTATTCAGTGTGTGATTACACATAATTTACTAACCCGATTAGCAGGGCACAAAGTACCGGGTTTCAAATTAAACAGATGTGCGGGTGACATTTTGTTGAACACCAAGAAGAGACCGACATGGTGACGCTATTCTCTGACAGTAACTATGTTAGCGAATAGGTCCAAGCTATTTAACAGATGAAATAGAGATAACGCTCACCGGATAAACGAGTGAGTGAAGGAGTTGGGTTTAACGCCGCTTTTAACAGTATTCCAGTTATATCACGGCGTGTCAGCTCAATGTGGGAGGAAAGCCCGAAGTGATGCAGGTCTCAGACGTTTACCACTTCGGTGAAACCCACGAGCACGGGTATAGTGCTGACAAACCTAGAAACATAACGTATAATTAATACCCCAACAGCCCGTCATTATCGCTTAGTCATTGCCTAGAAACCAAATGCAAGGGGCATCAATTCAAAATGCAGAGTTGCAACCCTTATCCTTGCAAGGATCCGATGATTGTTGGTTCGAGGACTGACCCTTGATTTCTAAGCTATACAAGTCCACGTGGGCTTCATTTAACTGGTGAACCTCCACCTGTGTCATTTTGGAGTTTTCCTCTACGAGTTGACACACTGTGACCTATCTGAAAAAGTATTCAAAGTGAAATTATACGACACTCACTCCCTCACTCCCAAAACATGAGTGACTGAGTATTGTTTAACGCCGCTTTTAACAATATTCCAGCAATATCACGGCGAGGGACACCAGAAATGGGCTTCACACATTGTACCCATGAGGGCAATCGAATAGTCTTCGGCGTGACGATCGAACGCTTTGACCACTGTTATGTTAGATTTATGTAGATTTATGACAGGTGGCTGTTTATTTAATGAAATGATTAATGTGCCAGGATATATAGAATACTGAAACCAATACCATTTTTATGAAACAAGTGAATAGTTCTGATATCTGATGAGCGACAGCGAGTTTCGTCTCTGAAGTGAAATGAAGGGCTTCACACATTGTACCCATGTGGGGAATCGAACCCGGGTCTTCGGCGTGACGAGCGAACACTTTAACCACTGGGCTTCTCCCGTCCATTCAACTTGTAGCTACATAGCTTGTATAAACAAGATACAATATCTTGGGCGAAATTGTCTCATGTGTCTGTAATAATGTCCATCCCCTAGCCACCATTGTTAGCTCACCTGACTATCGTCGTATCGTTGGTGTGAAAATATTCTCCTCAGAAACCAGAGGACCACTGAAGTTGAAACTTCACCTGCTTGTTACCACCAATGTCGTTCGACCCCCTTTCAGGTGTTTAGACCCTAAATGTGTTCAGATAAAACACACCAAATGTGTGACCGTTTGGGACTGAAACATATTCCTAAACATGTCTTGTGTTACATTCTTAACACATTTTTACAATGTGGTTTAAATAGTGAATAATACTAATCTAATAAGTGATATTTACTAATCTTCAGAATGTTTGTGCAATCTACCAGGCAGGATAGTAAGTTCGCTGTTTACTAACCTCCTGGCCGCTGTGTCAAATAAAGATAAATTTGGTAGAGGTCACTAGATTTTTTCCACAGTGCCCTACAAAACGAAAAAAATAAATTTGTAATTTTCAATACCGAAATTGGTTGGTTTGTTGTTTAACGCCGCACTCAGCAATATTCCAGCTATATGCCGGCGGTCTGTAAATAATTGAGTCGGGACCAGACAATCCAATGATAAATATCATGAGCATTGATCCACGCACTTGGGATCAACCAAGTCAGCGAGCCTGACCACCCGATCCCGTTAATCGCCTTTTACAAGCATAGTCGCCTTTTACGGCAAGCATGGGTTGCTGAAGGCCCATTCTACCCAGGATCTTCACGGGTTTTTGTAATTATATTGTTTTAATGCAATTGCACACCACACAAGGACCTTTATGAGTGTTTTGTTAGGTGTCGTGTCAAGTACTTTTCGTAGCGTCGATGCCTTAGCTACGATGTGTCATGTGGCCTTTGCAGCGTTTCGCTGAATGGTGGTAACTGTTAGCATTTTTCTTTTGTTCGATTGTTGCAACAACCCTTATTTCGGATTGCTTTGTGATATGTTGTTTCACCAGGAGGTGCTCTTACTAGTCATGAGGAGGGCACGGGTGGCCCAGTCGTCTAAGGCACCACAATTCGCTGTGTCCTCTGGGCACGCCAGAAACCTATGATTGTCGGTTCGAATCCCTGTTTGTCAGCACCATACCCGTGCTCGTGGGTATCACCGAAATGGTAAACGTCTGAGACCTGCATTACTTTGGGCTTTCCTCCCACATTGAGCTGGCACGCTGCGGTATAACTAGAATACTGTTAAAAGCGGCGTTAAACCCAACTCACTCACCCACTACCAGCCATGTACGGCTGTACATTGCAGGGCCAAGGTTGGCGAGAGCACTTTCTAGAAAGCGTCAACTGGGTAAAAAAAAACAATTAAATCTTGTCACAAAATCGTGATATTGGCTTTATTCGCTTGGTGTAACACAACAGATTGGACTATTATGCCCTACCATAGTTATACATGAACACATGCGGCGAAAATATTTCATTCAAAATCATGTTCAATATACAGAAAATGTCTGTTTTCAATAACCCGTTTGTTGATAAGTTACTTAAAATAAGATAAACTACACTGCACGTTCTCATATATTTCTGTTTATTTGATTCAAATATGTACATATTTAAGGATTCATATATTTTAGTATTGGAGGTGGTCCATTAATCATAGCACCATTTTATCAATAAAACCATAACATATCATTCCGTTTTTAATGGATATTTTAGACATAAGCATGTCAACATTGCCGCAAAAACAAGTCATTTGTATTGGGTTGAACACACACCATTTGGTTGGATAGAGTGTGGCACACAAATGTGTATGTATATGCGCTTACATAATAGTATCGTCACACCGTCATTATCCTGACCTTGACGAGCGAGTGAGTTGGCGTTACCTAAAGTGATGCAGGACATTGTGTGTGCCTGCTTGCTTGTAATGTTGGTTTTATAGCTGGCCAATGAAAATACTATGCCGCAGTTTAGCCTAGCATTCGTGACAAACTCGTGTTATTCCGGGACAAGCCGAATAGCGGGTTACGGAAAGGGGCGAGTGGTGACGAATTTTTAGCCTAGATACCTAACTCGGAAATGTATGGAGACGCCGACGAGTCATTTGCTTGTCGTAAGAGGCGACTAACGGGATCGGGTGGTCAGGCTCGCTGACTTGGTTGATGCATGTCATCGTGTCCGATTTGAATGGATCGATGCTCATGATATCAATCACTGGATTGTCTGGTCCAGACTCGATTATTTACAGACCGCCATCATATAGCTGGGATATTGCTGAGTGCGGCGTTAAACAACAAACAAATAAAACAAACATGCAACGCATACCCCTGATCGAAGTCTCTCTATTTCTTCTTGTGTGGTCTCCGATGGACACCTCCCCGGAACTGCGATGGAGGATGAGGATGAGGATGAGGATGGATGGAGGAGAACCTGTGCATGGGTGTTTGTCGTTAAAGAATTGACGGAATACTCAATTCTCTATAACAAAACAATTTTAAAACAATATGGAATCGAGAACATTCTCATCTAGTTCTACCATGAATTTGAAAATTACACGAATCGGATTGATCATTTAGACGTATCAAATAATAATATCAATAACCCTCTGATTGAAACAGTCGATTTGACGGCCGCATCACTACGGTAGCTAAAATGTATAGAAAAGCATTCCTTTCTCAGCCATTGAGGGTTCAGTGCCAAATTCAATTTACCGCGTTTAAATCTTACATGTAATATAAGGCAGTGTAATTTATTGTTGAACAATGCTGTAATTGTATTATATTGTTTCACAATAACTTAAGGAGTAACCCAACAAACAGTGTGTTTATATCCTAAATTCACCTTGGAATCAAAACGGGTGACAGTCCGCTAATATTTGATACATATACATTGAACCTATATACAAGTATAGGCTTGACTTCCGACCACAAATAGGCTTGCCATGAAAATGTGCAATTCATGTTATGGAAATTGGCTCCGACAGCTTTCCATACTCGAGCGAGAGTTCGTGTGGGCTTCTCCTACTTCAGTCTCCGCAAAATCTGTGTCGAGTCACGAGGCGTCCGAGCGCTCTGGTCAGCTGACAATCAACTGGCAGGTAAGAGCACGTGCTGCTCGCACTTTTTCTGATCCTTCTTGAGAAAAGACACGTGCATTCTCATCTCCTCCTGCATTAGGAAAATTTCTTTTTGTTTTTATACATCCTTGCGAGTCGGTTTCAGATGTTATTATTGATTTTGTCAGCGGAAAGGGGACATCAAGCTTGACTCTGGTTACTACTCTGGGTAATAATCTCTTGTGCTACCACATGATTTCGGAGTGGTTTCTAGCCACTGACCTACATTTCCACTTATCACTGACGTACATTTCCCACACAAACGTGGTGTTTGCTTTACGAGGTGTTATCGCTGCAAGTCCGAAATCTGGACTCGATCGCCACAAGTATTGCTCGCATATTGTGAAATGACACCCAATGTGTCATATCTCCCAATTTCTTATTTCGTTAAGCACACGAGCTGTTTCCCGAAGGTCAGATTCGTATAAACAAAGTTTTATAACGTCATAGCGGATCGACGAGGTGTTTGATGGGGCCGTTCTGAACCGAATTTCCTTCACGTTTCTGTATCACTTATCAATATCTACTACCAATATTCAACAGTTGCATACTATGTTCATTTAAAGTACAGAGATTATATATATGGTTATGGCAAGGGCATAAGGCGTAACTGGTATCTCTTTACACAGGCGCTTGTGCCGTTGCCTAAATACGTCTGGATCAGTTAATGTTACGAGTGTCAGAAAATGCACTATTAATAGGATAGTGCATGTCTGACACTTGTGATTCATCTAGAAATATTTAAGCAATGACACAAGAGCCTGTGGTTCGAATCCCGGATTTGGCCTCGTTAACGAATTCTCCATGTGCGTCACATTTGTCTTTCTCCGCTTCATCTATTATGTTTTCAGGTTTGTTACCACCGGGACAAGCTCGTTGTCAAAGACAATTCATTGTGAACTGTCTGTTTCTTTGTCAGTGTAGAGTCTATCACCTCAGCTCGGCCATTGTTATTCAGTAATATTTACACAGCTGCTCGTGAGCATTCCGGGTACGAGAAGGGGTGGCCAGCAACGTGGGGGTTGAGGCGACTGAATGAATCGAGTACAAGGGCTTGCTGACTTGTTTGATTGTACATTTGCGTGGATCGATGCTCATGCTGTCAATCACTGGATCGTCTGGTCCAGCCTCGATTTACAGACCGCTGTCATACAGCTGGATTATTGCTGAGTGCGGCGTTAAACAACAAACAGACATATTCTCACTCACTGTCTCGCCGTCATACAGCTCTCGTGCGGCTGTCAAGAACAAGACCGCCTGCGTGGTATTGTGAATAGAGCGTCTGTCGGAGGTCGGTGACTCGATCCTCTCCACCTCGTATCTAAATACGTATAAAGAGGGTACTTGTTGTAACCCTGCCTGGCATTAAGTAACTACAAAGAAGGACTTGTCAGCTTGTAGTGTTTGTGTGAGTGGGTCATCCATGTTAAAGCTGAGCTCAGTTCTCAGTGGGCTAACATTATAAAAGAGTTTTTAGTTCGAACTAGTCAAAGCACACACACACACACACACATGCCCGTCGCTGTATAAGTGCACCTCAACTCACCTCAGATGTGAACAACCATTCACAGTCTACGCTGCATAACCTTCATTATTCAATGCCGTATTGTTGAAAGGTAGACATTCTGACAATGAAGACAATCTTTGTATCTGGATGGAAGAAAGTCGCGTTCAATATCTAGGGTACTTTTTGTGCCGTATTTACATACTAGTGTATCTTTGCTGCTTTTTCTGTTTGTTCGTTATCGTATCTGGGTCAGACAAACAGCGAATGACAAAAGGGACCAGCCATTTCACAGTCGCGGTGGTTGGAAGCGAGGTACGTTAGGAGCGACAAGGCGGGGGACGCAATCAGTCGAGCAGTACCAACGGATGTACTGTGTCGCCTCATACGACCATGATCCTTGCTAATGTTTTCTTTAAAAAAATACCTTTTTTAATGCGCAACCACTGTATGTATTTTCAATTTGAATCGTAAACATGACCAAGAGTACACGACCTGGATATATGTTCTCGATATAACACATCGCATTACGTCATCCGGGCAACTCAAGCAGGTGCAGATACCTTCACACTCAATCACATTTAGGGCTGATTGTTTGTTGTTTAAAGTCAGCTATACGACGTCGGACTGTAAAATATCAAGTCTGCATCAGGCAATCCAGTAATTGATATTATAAGCAATGATCCTCGCCCTGTGGGTTCGATGATGCGCTTTTAACCAAATCACCGAATCTGGCCATTCGTTCCATGAAATCGCCTCTGACCCCTTGCTGGTGACCGACCCAGACCCCGAATGCCCACGGAGTCCGCGTGAACGGGCACACGGATGGTGTTTAACGTCGCGTCCAAGAGTTTTGCTCTTATATAGCGACGTGCATGCACGTGTGTGTGTGTTGCTGTTTGTACAAGTGCGACAATGCCGATTTTGTAGTGCTAGTCCACTGAGATACCATGCCGCAGTTTTACATGAATACTCCACTCAGACGCAGTATACTGACTCCGAGCCGACCAGTCCTTGTTTTAGCCGCTTTAATGTCAAACGCCAGACAGGATAACAAGAAGTACCGTCTTTTAACGTCTTTTGGTATGACGCGGTCGGTTGACCTAGTGGTTACAGCGTTCGCTCATCACGCTGAAGACCCGGGTTCGATTCCCGACATGGGTACAATGTATGAAGCCTATTTCTGGTGTCTCCCCTCGTGATATTGCTGGAATAGTGCTAAAAGCGGCGTAAAACCAAACTCACTCACTCCAAACTGACGGAAACCCGCACTGAGAAAAAAGTCAAGTGAATTCTACTAAATTTCACTTAATTTGTCACAGCGGCCAGAATGTTACTAAACAACGAATTTACTATGCTGCCTGTTAGATTGCACGAACACGATGAAGATTAGTAAATATCACTAATTTGATGTGTATAAACACTTGCTTGATAACGGTATTAGAACCTACACCGAAACGTCCCTCCTAACTGTCATATAGAAGTTGTTCAATATTAACATGACTGACACTTATCGCGCCCCCGTATATCGTTAGAAGAGATATTCTGATATAAATATTCATGCAAAGCTGTAACAGCTGCGACGGCGTCTATTACATTTCAAACCAAGGTTTGCACGCAATATACAAAAAGAAATATAATCTGGCTGCGGAATTATAAATGAGCGACAAGAGTTACAGTTAGCCTGACAGCTGCTACAGCCTGCTTGTGACATCTGGAGTTTCACATGAGGTGCATATTGCAACCTGAACATGGGTTAAGTTTCAAAATGTCAATTCCAGGTTTGGGTAGCGAAGTTCTCTATACAGTATCTACAAGACTAAGGGTATTTAATGCAATAAAAGATTTGTTTATTGTGTAACACCACATGACGCATGTTCCAGCTATATGACGGCGGTATATATACATCATCTTCCCGAGGCAAGAGAGTTAACTGACTTTAAAAGTCCAGTTTCCACCCTTGCCGAACTTGGCTGGAATTACTGGGCTCGATCGTAGCGCCACCAGTGGCTATTACGAGTTATGTCCTTTCTATGCCTCTCCTTTTGACCAATCAGATCCAACCTCTCGTATCACTTGCATTTGTTTCAAACAAAACGGTGGCGCCAAGTCAAAGACGATCTGATCGATAATCAGTGTCTATGTTGTGATAAAACACATCGCGCAATGCGTGAGCACCTTGATTAAAAACATGAAAAGATTTGGAATAATATCTGTTGACAACGAGTTAGCGGTGCACATGCTTTGCAAATGCGTGTGTGTGTGTGTGTGGGTGGGGGTGGGGGGTGGTTAACCAGTCACCAAGAAAACGTTTTGATGCGTTGCGTCAACACGGCGGCAAACCCTTCGTTCTTCAGGTTAAATTTATAATAACACAATTTCACTAGAATATTTATGAAGCTGTGAATTCCCGCTGTGAACTTTGATGGGAGGGATTAAAATGCGATTTATCTAAGTATGAATAAGGGAAGAAAATGACAAAATAATATAATATCTTAAAGAAAATAAGTTGTTAATTCAAATTTAGATTTAAACAATGAGAAAAATGTTCTTAACAATGTTATATCAACACAGACACGTGTATAAAAATAAATACATGGTATACACGGTATATGGTCTCTGGTCTTCAGCAACCCATGCTTGCCGTAAAAGGCGACTATGCTTGTCGTAAGAGGCGACTAACGGGATCGGGTGGTCAGGCTCGCTGACTTGGTTGATGCATGTCATGATCCCAATTGCGTGAATCGATGCTCATGATATTAATCACTGGATTGTCTGGTCCAGACTCGATTATTTACATACCGCCTTCATATAGCTGGAATATTGCTGAGTGCGGCGTTAAACAAGACACCAACCAACCAACCGTTAGGATACGATCACTCAGTCATATATAAATGACATGCGACTTTCATGAAATATCAAGTAATTTTTAAACTAACTAGATCTTGATCAAATATTTCGAGTCATGTCTTTATAATTGAATTTTATATATCATAAAACCAGAGCCGGTAGCATTTTAAACATCTCGATTCACTTTGACGATATCGAAAACCTAAAAAACACTTTCTCAAACCGTACTGTAGTGAAATTCACTGCAAACAAGGCGGAGACAAACGAAACAGTTTTGGGTCAATGTAAAATATGATTCTTTAATAACTGATGCCTTTTAAAAAAGAGTTTGAGATGTCCAGGTAAACTGAGAACAAAATAGAACTCATGCAGTTTCATAGTTTCATATATTTACCATGAATGACACACGGACAGTGACTGTTGCAGATCGCGCATTATGTTGATTTTCTAGTAATTATATCAATATTTAAATATCGTCATTATTGTCCAATCATTGGACGAGAAACTGGCCCTCGCCAGTTTATTCGTGTGTATTAGACAGGAACCCAGTCTATTATTGCTCGTCATGTGTGAATTACGCGAAGATATTTTAACTGATTTACATATATATTACCCGATGCAAAATTAATATAAACTGTTCATTTGAGTTAGTACATAGTTAACGTTTGTTCGGACATTTTCATTTCTGTTATATAGAGGGGGCAATAAAGTATTACCTATACTGCAAGTGCATTTATATATCAAAGCATATAAGAAGATAAAGATACCATCATTTGTCGTTTACGAGTCTGTATGTCGTAAAATATCATCTTTCTCATGTCCTACACAAGGGTGTTCATTACCGAAAATATTTCAACCGTAACATTAGCTTTCCAAACTATGAAATAGAAACTTTATAATTAGCAGCAAATTCAAGCTTTAAAGTTTCTATTAAGTTAAACATCTTTACGGAGATGCAGTGAGACGCTAAGTAGATCTTTGGCACGTCCTTTTTTTCTAAAACGTCATAAGGAAGTAAGAAGTTGGAAGCGGTGTTGAGCTTTCAAGTTTCATTCTAAAAAACATAATTTCTGAAGTGAGAAGAAGGAAGCGGTAAAGAGTTTTCAAGGTTTTCATCTTTAAAATAATAAGTTTGAAAGATGAATTGTCAAGTGTTACCCGTACCTTACGCTTTTCACTGATTTCGAGTGATCCATTCATATACGAGTATTTTTCATCACTATATTTACGCCCAGTGTAATCTGTTTCGTCAGATAACCGATACTGATTATTCTCTGGCGTTGACGTGTTAAATTTAGGAAGCAGGTGTGAGAATTTGTAACTATGAAGAATCTTTGATAGTGAAATAAACTGACACATGGTGCTCGTTTCCCCCGCAGAAAATCTGAAATATTTGTAAAGGTAAGCAAAACATATGGCAAGTTACGGAAGATGATGAGATTGTAATATATATCATTATGTGATCTATCATGTCCGAAGTCCAGTGAGGGAGGTGGCGACCCAACACAACATTTGAATCTCACACTTTTTTTATATGACTAGATCTACACGCTGCCATGTTGTGTTTGTCAAAAGTCGCCGTTGGTCAATCTACAGCAATGAAATACGTCATGTGATAAAGAAATAAAATACAGCCCTTTCCATAATCATGAGAAGTCCATTGTCTAGAGTTAAGTGTACGATTCCGACTACATCATACCCATGCGTTTATGAATCACTATCAGTTAGTGATGATAATAGGTGTTCGCGAAAAGCTGCGCATATCCCGTCCAACCAGTGGCACCCTTCACAAACACGTGCAAAGGCAAGTCAAATGTTCACCTGAACGAAAACGGAAACATATGGTACAAGTCAAAATAGGGAATTTCATTGACATCAGTTTGATCTCCCATTTTTGTCGTAAAAGGCGACTAACGGGATCGGGTGGTCCAGCTCGGTGTCTTGGTTGATGCATGTCATCGTATCCCAATTGTGTAGATCGATGCTCGTGATGTCACTCACTAGATTGTTTGGTCCAGACTTGATTATTTACAGACCGTCATGTAGCTGGAAGATTGCTGTGTGCGGCGTTAAACAACAAACCAAAAGCCCTGTCACACCGCCGAAGGCCTGGCTCGATTTCCCACATGAATACAATATGTAAAGACTTTTCCCCGCCGTGATATTGCTCCAATATTGCTAAAAACGACGTGAAACCATTATGTATTCACTCGTTGTTCTCAGTTCGGGCGGCATCTCCAGTAGAAGCAAACATTAATAAGTTTCCACAATTTTCCCAATCTCATTAAAATCTCGCTGCCGCTGAACAAAATAT